GAGCAGGGGCTTGAGTTCTGGCTTAGCCACAGGTTGGAGCATCGTTGGCAGGCAAAGAGCCTACCTGAGGTCTGAAGGCTAAAGTCAGGTGAGTCTTCCAGTGACAAACACACAAACACACCTCAGAGAGGGGACTCTACTGAAGCTGGCAGCATGGACCGGGTCGCCACACAAGGCAGAGTTGGAGGGACCTCTGAGAATTCTCTTGCCTCTGGGTTCTGGTTGCTGTGAGGCTTACTCAGCACTCCCACAAAAGGGCCACCACCAGCCATCATGTGACATACCAGGCAGAGGAACTCAGAACTTCTCAGGGAGCCGCAGAACTCAGAGCCAGATACTAGGTCTATGCACATAATGGTAATTCATTCTGCCACAACCTGTATTTTTCTGTGATACTTCAAAACTCAGAGCCAGGATACTAGGTCTATGCACTAGCTTTACCTGTAACGAGCCCCACAACTCAGAGCCAGGATACTAGGTCTATGCACTAGCTTTACCTGTAACGAGCCCCACAAGCTTGGGCCAATCAGTTAACATCTTAGACTTCAGTTTCCTGCTCCAAAATGGAAATGGTATTTCCCAGCCAGCTGACTCACCAGGTAGGTGAGGATCAGATAATACAACGAAAGTAAAGGAACAATTAACTGTACATGCCAATTCAGAAAACTATCAACTGTAAAATCTGATTTGAAGCATCCTTAACCCAGTGCATCTAGTGAGTTGAGTCCCAGGATCATAGAGTGTCCATATTGTTTTCTCACATCCTTCACCTCCCCAACTCACAGAACTGAACACTGCTGTGCTTTCCTGGGTGGTGCTCATCTCACCAGCCAGTCTACTGCTTCTTTCAATCACTACAGTCAATGTACCTGTGGTTTCATGTCATCTTACAGTGGAACTGCAGAAGCAGCCCAATGCCCCTGGGTTGCAAGAAACATAACCCAAGCACACCAGATGAACCAGGCATGACACACAATTGGTGGAACCTAGGTGCTTGGACTAAGGAATGGGGATGGATTAAGAAGTCAACACCACATGGCATGATCCATGATCCAATAGCATCACCTTATGACATGATCCAGTCAGATCGAGCCTCCCACATCACAAAATTGCAAATGTCCAATCAGATCACGCCATTACCTTCTGTCTGTCAAACCTGTCCCTGCCTCCAAAAGCCTGACTGCTGTCTCCTTGTTCAGCAGCCTTGCAATATACTTTTCTCTCTACAAAAACACAGTGCTTCAGAGTTTGGCTTTCTATTGTGCATGGGCGAACAGACCAAGTTCTGTTCAGTGACACTTTTTTGCTAATTTCATGATTTTGTTTGTTTGTGTGTTTGCTTAATGTCTCACCTCCCTGTCTCACTCACTGTTTACTGGAGCCTCAAGAGGACAGAGGTGTGGCTATCTTGTTCCTTGCTGTATCCCTATTGTATCCCTTTCTTAAACACAGTAAGTGTTCAATAAATATGTGTTGCATGACCTAGTGGTCAACTACCTCTCATATAACATCCTACTGCCCAGAGTTCAAGGTGAATGAAGGTCAAAATAACTGAAATCCATTGTGATATTTCCACTTCTGTCCTTCCAGTTGTCCTGAAAGTCATGCTGGGTGGCATTGGTTAGTCACTTCCCCTTCTAGTCAAATGCTCAAGAAGCAGTCTGGAAATAATTCCAGAAACTGAGTATACACCCACCCTCAATGCTCCAGAGCCTTGAGAGGAAAAGCAGCCAGACATTTCCAGACACCAACCATTTCCCCTTTGAGCAGTGACATTTCTGGGTTTTTTTTTTTTTTTTTTGAAAAAAAAATGTCACCAAAATATATCACGCATACCTTTCTCCTAGGTGGTGGTATAGTAAAGTAAAATGAGTCTTGGCTTTGGGTCATTTGAACTAAGTTTAAATTTTGCCTGTACCACTTGCTTGCTTTATAGCCTGAGTCAACTGACTTAGCTTCTGTTTGTCTCAATTTCTATATTTGCAAAATGAGGAGACTATTATACAATGTTGCGAGAATACAGGTAGTGTTATATATAGAGACAAGCTGGTAGCGAGTGCTTGTTCCTTAAATGAAAGCTAGCAGGCTCCTGTAAGTTGCAGACCCATATTTTCAGGGTAAACCAGGACCAAGTAATAAACAGGCATGGCTGTGAGGGATGACAGCATGTAGGCCTACTTGATTTTTGAGTCCCTGTGTCTGTTTTGTAGAGTTGTGCTATTCCTTTGCACCCTGACAACTGTCATTTCTCATTGCCACTGGGAAACTTTCATCCCCTTATCCCTCCTCATAATTTGCTGAATCTTAGGATGTATGAGTTTGTTAAATAGATGTGCAAAGAATATAGTGATTCAGAGGGAAAGTGTAAGGGCTTCTCTGTGTGGGAACTGGAAAAGTTTTGACGTGCATTTTGGTTTGGGCTACTCAGAGGCCCCCTTTGCAGGGGGTGAAGGAGCTTGGACCCTGGCTGGGGTCAGGAAGGCCTGGATATCAGGCCTGCCTTACTCTTGGTATTTCCATGTTTTGTTTAGCCTATATGAAATAGTCACTGGCCATACTTTACAGATAAGGAGAGTTGAATCTCAGAGAGAGAGATTAAGCATCTTGTCTGAGGTCACGCAGTTGTTACCACGGGATCTGATACCAGGTTTGTTGCCACCAAACTCTTATTCTTTCCATGGCCCCACCCACAGCCAGAACACTGGGAAGCTGGCCTAAATCCAAACACATTGAAAGGCTATGGTCGATGGCTGGATTGGGTCCCTTAGCTGAAAGTTTTATAGACTTAGTTACCTTAGCACGCTGTATCAAGATCATAGACTTTGGGTCAGATCGGGGCTGTGTTCTGGGTTAGCTGTTAACTTGCTGTGCAACCCTGAACAAGCCTCTTCCCTTCTCTGGGCTGTACTTTTGCTATCTGGGAAGCTTTCTAAGATTTTGAAACAGTGATCAATACTATGGTATAAAAGAAGAGAGAATTGTGAAAGGGAGGAAGGCACTGGTGGCCAAAATGGAACACGATTTGACACCTGGGGGACCTGCCTTCAAACTCAGCTTTCCTACTTACTGTCTGTATGCCCTTGGGCATTTCTGTGCCTCGGTTTCTTCATGTGCATCTGAAAATGAGGATAATATCTCACAGTATATCGAGAAAATTAAATGACAATGTTAGATCTGAGTAACTGGAAGAAAAGCAGGGGATTCATAACTGAATTTGACTTAAGACCCAACCATCTGCTTTGACTTATCAAACGTAGGGTTGCCCTGGAACTACCAATGTGTAAAATGTAAGACAAATACTCTCTGGTCAGATGCCCTGTAAACATTACCAACACATGTTGCAATGACTGAAGATTCACCTGACTTAGGGGGAACACTGTCCAAAGTCTTCAGACTACATAGGAACTTCCAAATTGGTGGTGGCTGGTTCTGTCTGCTTCAATGCCTATCATTTCTAGATGAAGCTGGATACAGGATGGACAATGGCTATCTAGACCATCTCAAAAGTCCTCTTCTGGGCTGGTGTCCTAGCCTCCAGTGACACAAGGACTGAGGCTGCATACATTTCTCTAGTAGCTGCCCATGCCCTTCAAACAGGCCTGAGCCTCTCAAACGCACTCCCATTCTCATCCCAGCACTTCCACCTTAATGTTTATGTTAAAGCAAACAACCGCCCTGGTTGCTCCCTGTTACAGCACGCCATCTCTCTCCTCCATGCCTGTGCTCACACTGGACACTCTTACAACATTGGTGAAATCTTACACATCATTTAAGATACAGCTCAGTGTCTCCTCCACTGGGAATTCTCTCCTCTGAGCTCTTATAGTGACCTACGCATATCTCCACAAGGACATACTGTATTGTAATTATGTTTCTGTCTCCCCAACTAGAGTTTGACTTTCTTTAGGACATGACTTATCCACGGCTAGTTCACTGCCATGTTTCCAAGCACTTAAGACTTGCCTGAGACAGGGTGGATTCTTAATAAAAATATTTGTTGAATGAATGAATGGTTTTCAGGCCCTGGGCCCCGCCTCATTCCTGATACATAACATACTCAGTTTATGCTTGATGAACTGAACTGAGCAATTTGAAAGTTGTTCCACTCAATGCTTTGCTTCATTTTAAGGGACTGTAGTCCTCCTTCCTGGAGTTCTGGGCAAAACCGACAGTCAATATTGCTGCCCTTGGGCAAAGGGTAGCTTGCTTAAAAGAGATGCCCATGCTCCTGATATCATGAACTGACACTGGTCAGTTTAGCTATGGAGATGCCTCAATGTATTCCTGAACTCCAACCATCTTTGGTAAAATCAGCAGTTATACCTTGACAGCAAGTGTCCCTATGGGACTCTAGCACCCTACAGCCTTAAACTGGACCAGCCCCCAGGTCTTGTCAGATTTGTTATATCTGATCAGGTTGTTTTCAGAATTCAGCAAATCTGTCTATCTGGCTGTTACTGACAGTGACACAAAGAAAAATAACCTTGCCAGGAGACTGTGTTCCAGGCCACCAACCCCACTAACTAAATTTACCATAAACATGTTCCAGGAAGTTTCCTTCTAGACCATCTCAGGTCCCGATTAGGATTTTTTGTTTGTTTGTTTGTTTGTTTGTTTTATGAGACAGGGTCTCACTCTATTGCCCAGGCTGGAGTGCAGTGGCATGATCACAGCTCACTGCGGTCTCGGTCTTCCAGGCTCAAGCAATCTTTCCACATCATCCTCTCAAGTAGTTGGGACTCCAGGTGCGTGCTACCACATCCAGCTAATTTAAAAAATTTTTTCTTTGTAGAGATGGGGTCTCGCTATGTTGCCCAGGTTTGCCTTGAACTCAGGGGCTCCCTTTGAACTGGGCTTGGGGCTGCTGACCTCCTTCCTCCCAGGAAGTTTTGTTCCTGGCCAGTCTTGCCCATGGGTATTGCCGGTCACATGATTCAACTGGAGGCCCATGTGGCACAGAGAAGGAAAACCACAGACTCCAAGTGAAGAACCGTCCTCACCTGACAGGGGCTCCTCGGGACTGAGCGGGTTTCAGCATCACTGTGATGGTTGTGTCTGTCTCATTCAGTGGGGTGTCTGTGTCGTACTCAGGCATGGATGGAGCTGGACAGGAAACAGAGAGTGCAGGTGAGTTCAGGACAGGTTCCCAACCGGCTCCCCACCGCCCTTTGCTGCCATCCTTAAAGACACAGCATGACCAGAGGGAGGACGTTTAGGAAAGGGGTTGGATAAGAAGCCTTCCAGGCCTTCAGTAAAGGAGGCCCTGATGCCCAACCTGCCCACAGTAGGTTTCTTCAAGGTGCAGTAGTGTAGGGAAGGGTAGCAATGATGTGTCCAGTAACCTGCATGAACCAAAATGTTCCACACCTAATAAACATGTGGAGGGAATGTAAGTACTAACAAAGAAGTGAAAGCAGAATCAACCTTGCTAAACACATTTAAAATGCAAATTAAATCAATTATGAACTACTTTTCCTCTACCTGTTTTTTTTATTCATGAGACCCCCCCCCCTTCCCTCATACTCAGCTGATAGGAATGCAACTATATCTATTCCTTTGGGAAGGTAATTTAGCTATTTGTAGTAACAGCTATTAAAACCCACATTCTTTTTAATTCAGTTTTTCCAAATTCTGAATTTAATTCTAAAGTTATAATCCAAACCAATGAATGAAACTTTATTTTGTAACATGTTTATTGAAGCGTTATTTTGTAAAAACATGGAAGCACCAAATATATCCAACCACAGGGGAATGTATAATTAAATTATGTCCATCCACTTGACAGAACATTATAATGAAAGCAATGTAGCAACATAGGAAATACTTATGGGATAAAGATAAGAGAAAACATTAAGCTACAAAAAAAACATGTTTTTCTGGAAAACCATGTGCAAAATATGTATGTATGCAGACCAGAATTGCATAGATATTTAGGATAATGAAAGCTGCAGAAAAGGTTCTGAAATAATTCTTCATTGTTGCTGTCTAGTGGCAGAGGGGGCCCTACTGGTGATGGCAGTCTGTAATTTTGGACTGCTGTGGCCCTATAATATTCATTCATTCATTCATTCATTCATTCATTCACTCATTCATTCATCCATTCATCCATTCATTCATCAGGCATTTCATGAGAACCTGTGCTGTCTTGTTCTGGCAAAAAGAATGTTCCTGAAATGAATTTAATAACCAACTTGTGCGCAATACACATTATCTACACACACATGTACTATTTAATGCAACCCGGTGGGCACATTATTTAGTGGCTTGCCACCTAATTAATCTAATTTTTACACTTTAGGAAGTTCATCACTTAGATTTTCTTCATAGGAGACAACAATGGTAACTCACTAGGGACTGGGTCGTCTTAATTCCACCCATATCACAGGGTGGACAATTCAAGAAAAATTTCCACTTCAAGGAAAATTAGGAAGTGGGGGTGAAACAACCTTTTTCCCTTTTTCCTTTCTAGCAGAGATACCTGAAATTTTGGTGGCGATCCGAGTGGTGACAGGGGGCCCAAAGCCCTTTGCTGTGCTGGCCTTGATGGTGAAGGAATAGGTGGTCCCTGGGTACAGACCCACAAAGAGGTGGTGGGTTTCATTCCGGAGCTTGAACACTTTCCCCCTCTGGCTGGAGAGGTCAGCACTTGGGTCCAGCGAGCCAACAGCCTTGTAGTTGATCTGTAGGACAAGTCAGCAAACAAACAAATCAATGCCTCACTCAGGAAGGTGGATGGAGCTCATCTGGAGGAACCTTAGGGAGGTGGGGGAAGGGGTGGGCATGTGAGCTTGGCCAGCAGATTCTGCTAAGCTGCCTGTTGCTGTCCACTTTACAGATGATCCCAGCCTCCAAATACCCCATTGCTCATTCACTGGAGCAATGCATGTTCTCATTGATTTGTGGGAGTTAAAACTTAAAATAATTGAACTCACGGAGATAGAGAGTAGATGGATGGTTATCAGAGGCTGGGAAGGGTAGTAGAGGGTAAAGGGATGGTTAATGGGTAGAAAAAATTGAAAGAATGAATAAGATCTTATATTTACTAGCACAACAGGGGGTCCATGGTCAAAAATAACTATACATTTTAAAATAACTAAAAGGGTATAATTGGATTGTTTCTAACAGAGAGGATAATTGCTTGAGGGGATGGACACCCCATTTATCAAGATGTGATTATCACGCATTATATGCTTATGTCAAAACACCTCACGTAACCCATAAATATATATACACCTACTATGTACCCACAAAAAAATTTTAAAAAAGAAACAGAGGGTGACCCACAGATGTCATTTTGATTTTTCTAACATACATTTTGTTGAACCCAGTGTATCCAAACTATTATGATTTCAATCTGTAGACAACATAAACATTGAATGGAATTGTTTACAATCTACTATTCATATGAAGTCTTACAAACATGTTTTTTACCCCTTCAGTGCATCTTCAATTGGACCAGCCACTGCTTTTCACAAGTGCAGTAGCCTCCATGTGGCCAGTGGCCACCATACTGGACACTGCAGTCATAGAACAGTGTCCAGGTACAGCATCGTGATGAGATTTATGAGGCTTGTTAAAAATGCAGATCCTGGGCCCCATATTCCAGACAGATAGCAATTGCAGACTGGTGCTTTCTCGTGCACTATCTTTTTTTGTCTTCCTCAAATCCTTGGGGGCATCAGGATAGCTACTCTCATTTTAATAATGGAGAAACTGAGGTGCCAATGGAAGCAACTTGCATGCAATCTGCATTTTTCAAATTGTATATGGAGATAGTTTGTCTATGATATATGAAGACCATGCCCCATGTGACATATTATGTGAGTTCAGCAATAACTAAACTGGTCTACACCTGTAGAATGATTTGTGTCTACTATTCCCCGATCACACACTTGAGTGTCACAGCAAGGTACCAGAAGAGTTTTGAAGGGCGCACTCTCAATTTCTGCACTTGCTCAAGGGTGAAAATAATAATTGGTAGCCCAGCACTGGTCCCATGGATCATACTTCGAGTGTCACATCTTGAAATTACACAGTTGTAAAGTGGCAAACAAGATTTTTTTGTTTGTCTTACTTGGTTTGTTCCATTAAAAATATTTTATTTGGCTAGGTGTGGTGGCTCACACCTGAAATCTCAGCAGTTTAGGAGGCCAAGGTGGGAGGATTGCTAGAACCAGGAGTTTGAGAACAGTCTGGGCAACACAGTAGGACCCTGCATCTACAAAGTGTTAAAAAATTAGCTGAGTTGGTGGTGCACATCTGTAGTCCCAGCTACTCGGGGGCTGAGGTGGGAAGATGGCTTGAGCCCAAGAGTCCAAGGCTATAGTGAACCATGATTGTACCACTGCACTTTAGCCTGGGTGAGAGAGACCTTGTCTCTAAAAAATAAAAAATTATGGTATAATACACATACAGAAAAGCATACCTCTTGATGAATTTTTGAAAACTGGATACAGTCATATAATCAAAAACCAAACCATTACCAGGCCCAAAACTTTTTCCTCACACTCCCTTGCAATCCTACTTGCCTACCCCCATCAGGGATCACCTCTGTCTGACTTTTAACAGCATAGACGAGTTTTGCCAGTTTTTGTGCTGTGTATCAGTGCAATCCTATGAAACGCACATTTTTGTTTCTGGTTTCTTTCTCTCAATGTTATCATTATGTCCGTGGAATTCATCCATGTTGTCACAGGTAGTAGCAAGTAAGGCATTCTCAGGTACATTCAACAATCTCTTGCTGACACTGTACTAGGCAGGTCTGACTCCAAAGCCTGTACTTTATATTCTATACCACATTGCCTGGCCTGGAGACAGTGCATCAATTGCAAAATGCATTCACTCATCCACTTATTTGCTCCTTCACAGTGTTTCCTGTGTACACCTGTATTGTAGGTCCTGCACTGTGTGCTGCTGGGGGTGCCCAACTGAATTCAAGTCAGGCCTCATCCCCAAGTGACTTCCGTTCTTGCGAGAGGTAAGCCAGTGATATAGACAGCTGACATCACTCATCTTCTGTCAAGAATGGCCAAACCCAGGCAGAAAAGGAAGCACACCAACTTCCCTTCAAAAATCAGCAATTTGCTGTTACTGGCAATGGCACCGTGTATTTTTTGGAAAGAGGTCAGACTGTGCCTAGAGCAGAGTGTGCAGGAGGAAGTAGAAATGCAGGGAGTTGAGGGCTTTGGGGTTTTCTCAGGCAGCACCTGAGCATGCATGTGCACCATGCAGGTGGCTGTTAGCTTCAGGCTGCTCTGGTGGACCTGTCTACAGCGTTCCCTCCGGTCACCCCTGCCCACCCCAGTCCTTCTCAGAGGCAAGTGCTGCAATCATCTATCTGCCTCTCTGCTTGAGGACTTTCTCCATGGGTGCTTGCTGGGAACAGGGGGTAATTAACACCCAGCCCTGATGGGAGTTGATGCATAAATTTTCCAGGCTCCCCTTCCTTATACTCCTGCAAGCTCCCCCTCCTTGGCATCCCTGCAGCATCCCAATTTCCCTGAGAGCCTCAGCTCCACTTGCCTCTAGAGGGAGCTGGTTTGAAAACACAGTGATTATTGGCGACTTTCCTTTCTCTTCCCCACTCCATACCTCTTTACTGGTGTTTCTTATACTTCTCAGCAAACTGCTCACATTCAAATCCTCATCTCAGGGTCTGCATCTGAGAATGACCAAACTAAGGAAAAGTGCTCAGGGAGGTATCTCAGGAGAGAGTACAATGGACGCCTGAGGGACAATCCTGAGTCAGAAAAGGAGTGTTCTAGGTACCAGGCAGAGGGAACCGCGTGGGCAAAGACCTGAGGTGGGAAAAAGTTTGGACAGAGCAAAGCCCAGAGCCACCGCAGAGCAGCAAGCAAACAGGGGCAAATAGAATTTTCAGTGTGCAGGTGGATTCTGGTTTCCACTGTGGCAGAAAAGGTGAGATGTTCAGCCTGTAGCCACCAACCCCAGCGCACCAGTGGAGAGGATGTGTGCTTGCATTCTTTGAAAATTCTGTCCCTGTCCCCCTGCATGGACTGGTGGCAACTACATTGATATACAGACACTGGGAGGTAAAACTCATGCCTTATTTACTAGCCAATTCCTTTCCTGCGCTCCAAATTCAATCCAAAAGCAACTCAATTTCCACCGAGCTGTCAATATAATATACCGCGCTCCTCTGCTCTCCTAACCTTTCCTGGTATTACAGGATCCTCACTTACTTGTAATGAAACACTATGAATAAATCAATGTATGTTAATATAGCATGTCTTCAATTTTTTATGAAGGGCTTCACCAAATCTAATTCCCACTGCTTTGTCAGAAACAGTCTTTGAAAAATTTAACTTGCAAGTTTTATGAAGTTAGTGGGGGATCGGGCTGGGGAGGGAAAGAAGAAAGGTGAGAAAAATGGGATGGGAGGGAGCTGTGGCTGTAAACGTATAATACAATATGAACCTTCATTTGTAAGTGGGGAAAACGAAAGATTTGTTAGAATAGCAAACATAAAATAAAGCGTTAGTAGGGGGAAGGGTGCACAGCTGCAATCAACCCTGGGCTCCTGGCATGGGCTCTGGCTGCAAAAAGTACTCAAGGATGTCCCCCTTCTCTTTCAGTTACTGACAGTAGGATCCCCAGCCAGAAAACAAAGCACAAGCTTCATAACAAAAATCCAAGGCTGGGTGTGGTGGCTCACACCTGTAATCCCAGCACTTTGGGAGGCTGAAGCAGGTGGATCACTTGAGGTCGGGAGTTGGAGACCAGCCTGACCAACATGGAGAAACCCCATCTCTACTAAAAATACGAAAAAAAAAAATTATCCAGGTGTGATGGTGCATGCCTGTAATCCCAGCTACTCGGGGGCTTGAGGCAGGAGAATTGCTTGAACCTGGGAGGCGGAAGTAACGGTGAGCCAAGATGGCACCATTGCACTCCAGCCTGGGCAACAAGAGTGAAAATCCCTCTCAAAAACAACAACAACAACAACATCCAATCATGTCATAAGAACAATGGTTTCCCATAGCTCTCAGGATGAAGACTGTGTCTTTCTCACGTGGTCTTAATCAGCTCAGTGCATGAGCTGACCTCTCTTGTCCTCCCCCCAGCACCCCAAGCCTTACTTCAGTACCTAAAAAGAGCTACGGTCTTTTCTGCCACAGGACCTTGCACCAGCTCTTCTATCAGCTTGGGCCTCTTACTCCTTCCCATGCCTCCTTTTTGCCTCATTCATGACTCCTCACCCTTAGCGAACCTCACTTACAGGGACTCTTTTTATGGTTATCTTCTCTGACTCTCAGGTTCTCTTATTTTATGTTTCCAGAGTCATCTGTCTCTCCTTTGAGCCACTAACTTTCCATGTAACCATGTAATTATTTCATCAATAAGTCCCTTTTCTACCAGCCCAGGAGCTGAAAAAATATGACTTGCAAGTCAAATTCAATCTACCGTCTGTTTTTGTAAGTAAAGTTTTATTGGAAAACAGCTACACCATTGATTTAAATATGGACTATGGCTACTTTCACAATACAAAAGCAGAGCAACGTAGCAACAGATACCCTATAGCCCACGCTGCCTAAAATATTTATTCTCTGGCCCTTTATAGAAAAAGTTTGCAGACCTCTATACTAGATTTGAAGCTCCAAGGAGGCAAAAATCATATCTGGTGTTTGTTCAACATTTCATCCTTTTGCATGTATAAATG